GAGATGCCCCCTGGCTGCACGGAGGGTGGAGAGCCAGGAAAACAACCGAACCGAGCCTGTGAAAAAAAAACCTGAAGGCTTTGGGCCCACTGTTCCCCCCAGCCCTCTCCTCTGCGGGAAATGGAAAGCCCCCGGGGCCGCAGCAGCCAGGCTGCAGATCAGCTGGGGAGCAGGACGTGCTCCAGAAAGTAGGTGATGGAGTCCCAGTGCTTCCAGAGGAAGAAGAGGAAGAGGACGAGCAGGGCAGTGCTGAGGATGCGCATGCGGGTCTTCATGAGCGGGGTGATGAAGTTGGCGATGGTGGAGACGAAGACGAGCAGCACGGCCATCAGGGCCAGGATGACGTTGATGAACTTGCCCAGCAGCGCCCGGGCGTTGGCGTTCTCCACCCCTTCCAGCTGCACCACTTGCTGCTGCTGCTGCTGCAGCTCCAGCTTGGTCACGCGTGTCAGGCAGGACTCCACCGCCTCCTGCGAGGGACAGCACGTCAGGGCTGGCCAGTGGCTCCAGGGATGACCCACGAGGGCTTTTGGTACTTGCCCCATGCTCTGAGACCTTGCTGCTGCAAAGTTTTGCTTGCACAGCTCCAGTGCGTGCCAACCTTCTCGGCTGGGAAGGGGCTTCCCTCTGCAAACCCTTGGCCCACGCGATGTGCAAGGCGCGCCCCGTTCTGCTCTGCCTGTGCCGGGGAGGTCTCAGTGCCAGGAGTACCTACCACAGCAGAGCAGATGACCCAGACTGGGACAGCAGGGACTACGTGTTGGCCCACGTGTGGCTCGTAACAGCCCAGCGCTGCAGCCACCCATCCAGAGCCTTGCCCTGCCTTGAGCACCTGGGGACCTCAGCACAGCGGGGATTTGCTGGGATTTTGGGGACGTGGCTTAATTATCTGCTTCTTTCCATGACAGCATCACAGCAAGGACCTCACCTGGAGGGTGCTAGAGGAAGGGATCCCCCTCGCCCACCCTCTTTCCCAGCCCAGGGTCCTTCCCTTCCCCCGTGGATGGAGGGTGCAGCCCTCGCGCTCCCCTACCTGGATGTCCCGTGCCCTCTCGTAGGACTGGTAGGCCACTTTCTCCTCCATGCTGGCCAGCTCCTGCTTCAGGTTGGTCATTTCGTTCTGGTGCAGCTCGGTGAGGTCGTTCAGCTGCTCTTCCAGGCGCTCGTACCTATGCACGGGGGGTGGAGGGATGCTGGGGTGGGCAGGTGCCCCTGTGCACCCCCCCTGATGCTGGGGAGGGGTGGAGGGATGGTGGGGTGGGCAGGTGCCCCTGTGCACCCCCCCTGATGCTGGGGAGGGGTGTCCACAGGAGCTGTGCTGCTGGGGGGTCTGGCAGTGGGGACTGCAGCTCCCCAAGTCCCTGGCATGCAGGGCTTAGCTGGACAAGCCCAGGATGGTGGCCTCATGGTCTCCAAAGAGCCACTCCAGCACCCACTCATCCCTACCTGTACCGCTCCTCTTGCAAGCACTGTGTCATGTAGGTGTAATCCCGCTGCAGCTGGGCCTTGAGGTCCTCCATGGAGTCCTCTAGGTGTGACTGGCTGTCCTTGATCTCCCGGAGCTCCTCCAGGATGGTGTCAAAGTTATTGTGGTGGCTGTCCAGCGTGTTGGACTTGGGGCTTCCCAAGCCACCGGGTCCTGCCCCTGAGTTGCTGCCACCAGCCGAGCCGGAGGTGGCACTGGAGCACTCGTCGTCGCTGCCGTACTTGGGGCTGGGGATGGCACTGCCGCTGAGAGCCCGCGAAGCCTCCTCGGGGTGCCCGTCGTCCAACGTGTCCTTCAGGTGGGCGATGTTGTCTGCGCTGCCGAACTTGTTTCGGATGAGGGGGGGGGAGACCCCGGGGGTTGGGGGCACGCGGGGGGGGGG